ATGGCTCCTTTTGTCTTTAATTGGAAAGACAAAAGTGAACTGGTTGCCCAGGTCTTTTAAAATGTGCTACCATTACTGTATATAAAACTTTGATTTCATCACCTCTCTACCTCCTAACCCTTTCTGGAAAGTTCAGCAAGGGCAAGAAAAAGATCCACAGATATCTTTAGAAATCCTCTCATTTTGACCATGCCAAGCTGTTGTTTTACCCTTTTATTATTTATTGCATTATTTTACTGATCATAGTATGGATTATATTTTTGTTTGACAGCTTATTGTATATTAGAGGCCCGATGCACGAAATTCGTGCAAGGGGCTCAGCCCTCACAGCTGTGGCGGCTTGCCTTGGCCCTTGCAGCCCCAGCTTCATCCAGAAGGTCATCCAGGAGGACATCTGGAAGGTCGTTCAGCTGTCCAGTCTAATTAGCATATTACATTTTTATTATTATCCTATCTAATAATAGACAAACAAGGTAATTAACCATACCTCCGCTAAACTTCCCACTGGCTAATCAGGGCGATATGCAAATTAACTGCCAACAAAGATGGCGGCCAGCAGCCAGGGAGCTGAAGCAAACATGAGACTTGCTTGCTCCAGTGATGGAGGAAGCCAAGGTTCCCCGCCTGCCACAGCCGGGCTCTGAGCTCCAGTCTAAGCAACAATGTTTCAATTATAGAAGCTAAACAAACCCCAGAAACCTGCTTTCAGCCAGCCGGCCTCGGAGCTGGAGCCGCAACAAAGTTTCAATTACAGAAGGTAAATAAATCCCAGAATAAAAAGAAAAAAGAAAAACAGGAGAGACTGGGAGCTTCAGTTGCAGGTTTGGCCCGCCTGAAAACAGCCCTCAGCCCCTCATCCAGGCTGGCCAGGCACCCCAGTGGGGACCCCCACCCTGAAGGGAGTGTGACCAGCTGCAAACAGCCATCATCCCCTCATCCAGGCTAGCCAGGCACCCAAGCGGGACCCCCACCCTGATCTGGCACACCATTCAGGGCAAACCAGCCAGCCCCGACCTGTGCACCAGGCCTCTATCCTATATAGTAAAAGGGTAATATGCAAACTGACCCTAACAGCAGAAAGACTGGGAATGACTGGTCACTATGACACACACTGACCACAATGGGTTAGATGCTCAATGCAGGAGCTGCCCTCTGGTGGTCAGTGTGCTCCCACATGGGGGAGCTCTGCTCAGCCACAAGCCAGGCTGATGGCTGCCAGTACAGCAGTGGTGGTGGGAGCCTCTCCTGCCTCCTCAGCAGCGCTAAGGATGTCTGATTGCAGCTTAGGTCTGCTCCCCGCTGGCAAGTGGACATCCCCTGAGGGCTGCCAGGCTGCCAGAGGGATGTCTGATTACCATCTTAGGCCCAATCCCCCAGAGAGCAGGCCTCAGCCAGGAGGTGGTCATCCCCCGAGGGGTCCCAGACTAAGAGAGGGCACAGGCCAGGCTGATGGACCGCCCCCCCCCCCCCGAGTGTACAAATTTTTGTGCACCAGGCCTCTAGTAGATAATAAAAGCCTAATATGCAAAATGTCCAGTCATCTGGTCGGCCATTCAACCAATCAAAGCGTAATATGCTAATGATATGGTAAGGCCACTCAACTGCTTGCTATGATGTGCACTGACCACCAAGGGGCAGATGCTCCGACTGGTAGGTAAGCTTGCTGCTGGGGTCTGGCCGATTGGGACTAAGCGAGATGGGCTGGACATGCCCTGGAGACCTTCTGCGTCCCTCCACGGCTCTGATCGTGCACCAGTGGGGTCCCTCAGCCTGGCCTGCACCACACTGCAATCCGGGACCCCTCAGAGGATGTTGGAGGGCCAGTTTCAGCTCGATCCCACACGCCAGGCCAAGGTATCCTACTGGTGCACAAATTCGTGCACTAGGCCTCTAGTGAGTTAATAAAAGGCATCAAGATCCAAAGGCAAACAGGAAAAGAAAAAAGAGAAATTAATAGTGAAACAGATTTGCATTAAAGAATAGAAGAGCAGAAAGACATGTCACAAAAGTTAACTTTGGGTAAACCTAGGCACAGTTTTTATTTTTTAATTCTCTGGGAAGGATTATATATTTATCTGTCCCATAATGAAATTAAGTAAGTTTTGAAATATACCTACATCAAGAGGTCTCTGGAAAACATTCTTTTTGCTCCATTTAAGAGCACCTTTGTACTTCCCAGTGTTGATACACACATACTTAGTCTTGAATGATGGTTAATTAACTATTGATGAGTCCTAGCATTCTAGGGCTTCCCAGGTGACAGCTCAGTATTCTTTATTAATCATTTAATGAAAACACTTACATGAATAATGAATCTGGCATTTCCCTAGGTATACATGCAACTTTCTTAACAGTAATAAAGGCAGGCATAGGTACAGTTATACTAAATATTGTGGTTTGAAAATGTTTTTACAGAGCAAATCAGAGAGGTTATGTTGAAAATGAAGCTCTGGTTTCTGAAATTATTAAAAGTTTCACATTATCACCCCAGTAAGTTCAATAAAATGAAAAATAAATAAATGACGGAACATTGAAAAACTCTAAAAATAGTTTTACATCAACATATAGCATTATATCATAAGCACATAATACTGGAAGTATAACCATTACTTGCTATGTAAGCCCCAAATGGAGTAAGCATAATTTAGATTTTAGTAATCACAATTCTAAATTTGAAAGTTTGAATTGAAAGAAACACACATATCTATAAACACTTATACACTCAGACTATATATATTTGTGTATGTGTGTGTGTATATATATATATATATATATATATATATATATATATATATTCCACGTTCAAAGGCTGTGAAATCGCATTGTTTACCCATATATCATATATTCAGGAAAAAATCACTTCTACTGTTGTGGTAAACAACCTGCTTCCCTATTTACAATGGTCTGGCCCTCTAGCAACTTCAGCACAAAATTATAGCTAATTTGCCTACAAACATCAGATGGTCATAATAATCTGGCCACTCAGTGTATATATACATATAGTGATTATATATAGTGTCCAAAATGTATATACACACTTTGAATAATTATAAAGACAGTGTTTATTAAAATACATTTTATTTTTTAAATTAAATTTATTGGGGCAACACTGGTGAATACGAACATATAGGTTTCAGGTGTGGGATTCTACGTTACAGGGACTATATATTGCACCATGTGCCCAACATTTCATTTTCAAAATTGAGCTATCAGATGTTAGAGTGTGTATACTTATTTTGGGGATATTCCATATATGGTGCAGAGAAAAAATATGATTAAATTGTCTATGAAATTTATTCTGCTTCTCAGAATTGAAACTTGTCATCATTTGGTCTAATTTTACAGATGAGAACATGGAATCTTTGACGTTAGGATTTAATTCACACAAACCCATGATTGCTGTGCTGAACACTGAACTAGCGCTGAGGTAACTTGGCATGCCATCACTTTCAATACAATTTCAGTAACCCCTTTGATTCAATGCCATCCTGGTCCAAGTTGACATCTGCTTTGGAGAAACTAGGTTACTACACCCAGTTATTTGAGCAAATTTGAAAAAAATGTTTTCATAAATTGTTCCAGTGGAAGGATATTATGGAAACAGACATTACAAACTTTTAGGAAAAAATCGATTTTTGGAGTCAGAAGCCAAAACTTTGTCTTGTTACCATCTATCATGTGACTTTGGACAAGTCATTTAACTTCTCTGATCCTCAGTGTTTTCATTTATACAATTAGAATTCTGGCACTTGTGACACTTGTAGTTCTTGGTTGTCATATATTACTTATACTACACACTATTACTATTACTGTGACCACTACTTCTATCAATAATCAAAGCCTTCTATGTGCTCAAACTCTGTGATTTGCTTGTATGCCTTAGGACTATATCACACCCTCACATAGTCCCGTAAGCTAAGTGGTCTGATTTTCTCATCACAGATGAAGAAACATCTCCATGTGGTTAAATAATATGCCAAAACTCACACAGTCATTAAGAGCTTGAATGTGAATTTGAATCCAGACGTCACTCTAAATTTCAATTTAGATCCTCTATATCCTGGTTTCCTCTAATACACTATATATATATATTTGTGTGTATACACAAACATACATAATGTAAATAATAATACATAGTACATAGAGATATGTTACTCATTTGATGCACACATACATACATACATGTTTTAAATTCTAAAATGCTATACTAATTTTTTTAAATGTTAAGGCTTAATATGTGAAACTGAGTAGGTACTTAGTAGTTAATATTTAGGGGAAAGGAATTAATATGTGGTAAATAACTAAAATCATTTTGAGTAAACAGTTAACACATGTCAGCAATAACAGTGGCTATTTAAATCCTCATCTTCTTCAAGATTATGTTATTAAAAATTATTCTAGAGAAAAAATGTAAGTGGACTAGCCATAGGTTCAAATCTAAATACAGAATTGAAAGAGACAGAAAAAGAGCTGTTTTCAGTAAGCAAGGGCTGAAATCTAACCCTATGGACTGAACAAAAGAGAAAAGAAAAGATCATTTTAAAAATTACATGTGGTTCTGATTTTTCATAATACTTTCCAAATTTGGTAACATAATATTTTCCAAATTTGAAATTTCAAAGAAGCTATTCCATACTTTCCTATCAAAACAAAATAACAATACTTGCTATTTTTATTTCTCTTGACTATTGTATATGAGTAATAATAATGATGATGATAATTGGATAATGACATTCAGAATGAACAACTTTTTCAGAATTAAGGAGAAGGGGCAGGTGGTATCAGAAAAGATTCACAGACGTCTTATTTCTAATCAAAACACGTTTTTTTTCAACTATGTAATCTCCTTCCAAAGAACATCAGGCTGAATGGAAAGATGCCGACACGTGTGCCAGGTCAGGGCTAGAATGACATGTCTGGGGAACAGGAGATGCCGCTATTTCCATTATCCATTGAACACCTTGGCAAGTCTTATTTCATCCTGAGAATGTGATACTTACTCTTGAACTGCTCTGGCTATGGAAAGGGCCGTAGATCCAGTTTCATTAACGCTATCTAAGGTCACATTTGGCAGGTCATCATCATCACTGTCACTTTTACTTTGTCTGGGAGATAGGCCTCGGGGGTCCATTTGTGCTGGGGAAAAAAGGCATATATATGAATTAAAATCAGCATGCAGAAAGTTAACCTTGTCCTGGACCAACACCAAGCATGGAAGGTCTCTTCTGTGTATATCACGCACATGGAATTCTCTAGAAATCCCAGGAATTAGTGAAAGCGACGTATTTTCCCTGGTTCATTTGATTTATGAAACCTTAATTAGCTCTCAATAGTTTCAGGATATGACTATGGAATATAAACTATAAAATCCACGATATTATCTACTCCTGAGTGGTCAGAAGCTAATTAGGTAGCTCACACGTTAGTGCTGGACCCTCTGGCTTCTCCTTGCTTCTGCTGCCAGAATCCTGGCCACCTTACTGCTCTTGCTCACAGCTCTCATAATCAGCTGACAGAAGAACAAGGTTTGCAAGACTCAAAGTTTTAGGTACTTTTCATACTTCAGTGAATGACTATCTTCAGTTTTTTACTACAATTTGAATAGAAAAACGACAGAAGCAGTAGTAGTGTTTTTAATTATGTGTTTATATGTGCTAAAAAGTACTCTTTGTCTCCAACCTGATTTCATTTTTCAAAAGGGCATTTCCAGATACAATTCTCCCCGCCCCCCAATGTGAACTTGCCAAAGCAAGAAACGCCCCACGACTGGAGCCCTGATGACAAGGACTTCCAGGTCCTTTCAAATGAGAGGATTACAGTCAACATTTCAAACCTTAACTCATCTTTAAAAAAATTAGATTGCATTTCCACCTTCTTCTCTCTATGACCATCTTTAATAACCATGGTGTAGGATTTCCATCAGCCCTCACCTCAAGCACAAAATACACACATCTTCTAAATTAAAAATACTGCACTAGCTGCCAATGGCATTGTTAGAACTAGTGGCCTCAAAGCCAGCCAGTTCCAAGCAGATTGCCACTCCTCAAAATGCCCAACAACATTTCGAAAACCACTGCTGCTTACAAAAAGCAAATCCACTTAAAGTCATGGTTACAATGACATCTGGGTATATTTACAATTTCATTTTTTTTTTCTCAAAACGTTTTTTCTTACTGTGTATCATGCATTAGGTAGATCATCCGGAAAATGCTAGTATTTCATAATATTTTACACACAAACAATTTTTTATGATTCTACCTAACATTTAAAATATGAATAGAAAAACTATACCTAGAAAGCTTCAACATGTCTGTAACTAAACATGCTTAGGAAGGAATGTATATCTGTATAACCTACTGCCACACATTATTCCTGTAAGTATACATATATTCAAATGTAGTATGAACAATGAAAGTTCTTGGTAATTGTTGGTTAAATTAAAGAGAAAATAACTCAAATAACCTAAACTAGTGGTCCTCAAACAAAGGCAAATTTCTCCCCAAGAGACATTTGGCAATGTCTAGAGACATTCTAATTTGACACAACTTGGGGAGAGGGAGATGTTACTGGCATCTTCAATGATACTCCTGGACATCCTACAATGCACATGACAGTCCGTCCCCCATGACAAAGAATTAACTAGTCTAAAATGTCAAGAGTGCCACGTTAAGAAACTATGAGTTAGAGATTTAAGGGTTTGGATATAGAAACTAGAAAAGATATTAAGTCATAAATTGGACTATCCATATTTTCTGACCCTCAAATAAAACAATACACTGTCATGTGACTTAGCCCTCACCAATTCCCCATATACTAGTACATACAGCATTCACTTCTGCAAATGCCAGGAATTATGCAGTAACACTAGAGTTTTTGAATGTTTTCTTTGTCCCACACATGGTGGGACAAAAAGACTTTGTGTCTGATCTCTAGAGAAGATTTCCTAAAAGAGGGATGTTGGATAAACTCTTTCTAGAAAGGACCAGTTCTGCAACCATCTGATAACAGGGAAATACTTAAGCATCAGCCACTCCAAAGGCACTGAGGCACTGTATCATTTAAGATTTATCTTGGCAGCAGGCAACAGAAACGGGCTCAGAATAACTTAGAGTAAACAGAGGTACTGGAAAGATACTGAGTAGCTCAAAGAAAGTAAGGTCAAGATGAACAACCAGCATTCATGTAGCACAAGTCACAGGGATCATACAGGCATTACAACCAGGAGTTCACAGATAGTTTCTTTTGGGCAATCTGTTATAGGATGATTCTGTTACCAATCATTCATAACTACCCAAATGCAGCCAAAAAGGAGTAACAGATCTATGTAGGCTTCTGAATCACATATTGTGTGGTGTTATGCACGCCTGTAAATGTCAACAATTTAACATTTAAAGTTGTTGAAACATGATGCACAAAGATTCCTTTGCCAAGATACCAACTTAACAGCTAGCTAAAGATAAGGGAATATTCTGGTGGTCCTATTTTGTCCAAGAAAACTAGAGTTATAATAGGTAAGTAATAAAACTCAAGGGAGATATGGGCAATTAACCAATAAGCAACCTGACTCTGAAAGTTAAAATCTAGCCATACAAAAGACTCTAAAGAGCTGGTGTGAGAGTTGATCATCTAAATTATGTTATGTTTATATCTCAATGAAAGTTTAAAATATGTTAAATATGATGTCCTTTTTTGGATGTACTTTTTAGGAACATTATAATTGAGGATTTCTTTCCAATATTTTCAATCAATATTATGAAATACATCTGCTACCATCATGCTGAGAAGCTCTTTTTACACATACCTTCAGCCAAGATGAGGAAGCAATTAGAAAGGCTTTTTGAAATCTGCATTGCTGATTAGGTCAGATGATTAGCTTATCTGCATACTTGCATAATTCCATTCTCCTTTGATGAAATGTGGGATAGGGACATCTACCTTCCTTAACCTCCATTAGTCTCTGAGTTGCTCAGTTCATTTAGGAAGCACCCATTCACTGGGGTGCCCATTCAGAGAAAATGCAAAAGTAACCTGAGCACCAGAACCAAAGACATATCCACCTCCCTAAGTAAGAGAGCAATAGATGACCTGCAGGCATCTGAAAGGAATTTACATTTGAGATTCCGTTCCTTTTAAAGAAAAAGGGACCAGGCAGCTGGGAGAATGCCAGCCCATGGCTGGTGGAGGTGTCCGTTCTCTGAGTTGGAGGAGTTGTGAAATACTGTGTGAGATTCACTCGCCGTGACGAAATCCCTGGAAGGGTAACTGCAGAACTCCAACGCCTCAAGTTGAACCCATTTACTCTGACTTTCAAAAACATACTTAATGGTAAATTGTTCCTGTAAAGATCACCCCAATAAATCATGATAGATGACTTATGCTGAACCTGCTGGCTTGGAACCTGGTCGCCATCTGAAGAAGCCCAGGAAAACCTAAGAGACAAGATGCTCAGCTGGCAGCCAACCCCAACTGATGTGAGCCATGCTGGATGGACCGACCACATTGCAGCCACCCATATGCATGACCAGCATAAGCATTTCCTGCTAAACCCATTCCAAATAGTTGACTTACAAAACTGTGAGTGAATAAAATAGTTGCTATTTTAATCTACGAAAGTTTGGGGTGCTTTGTTACACAGCACTATAGCAATACAAAAATCAATGTACCATGCTACTCTCCCAGCTCCTTCAGAGGAGCACCAGGCCTCAAAATTTCCTGGCAATGACGTGGACAAGGGGCTACTACAGTTAGAGTCAGCCTATCACACTCCTCTCTGTCCTCCTCCTAAGAGGAAGCCTGGCCTTAAGTGGCATACATTTAAGTGAGAGATTAATATGAAAAAGAAAAAGAAAAGCCACATATTATCTCTGACACCATTTCCTTCTCAAGTCAGAATATGCAAAATGTATTTACAGGCACTTTGGTTTTAAAGCATCTTCTTTGATCCTTGGCTGTGCCTCAGGTGGGCTTCTCCCAGAGGGGGCCATCGGCTGGCATTACTGCTCAGGAGAACAACTCATAACAGACAGGAGGCTCACCTGGGTGGATCCTCACAGGTGTGTGGTTACCCAAAGTCCGGTACATTTGCCTCTCTTCAATGCACCTGAGACATGTTTCCTTTCCTTTCCCCCAGGCCACAGTGGACTGGCACTGACACAGGGACCTCAGTGCATTCTCGCTTCCTCCACCTCATCCTAGGCACTGCCAAAAGGTTCAACACTCTTCCAACTTCCTTAGACTTCAATAAGCCTATTCAGCTATTCTTAATGGAAAGGAAGTTTTTCCTTCAGTCACCATATTAAATATGTACAAAAAAACACTCTATGAACATACATTGAAATTTACAAAGTAACCTTTTCTAACCAGAATGAATCACAGAAGGAATTATTCAAGCCCATTTACCTCCACCACCAGGGCTGGAGGGGAGAGAAGGGGACACAGATGGACAGAAGGGGTGTGAGGCAGCCGGCGGCTGGAGTGCTGTCAGCCTTTCTCCCCCCTTCAGTCACTGACAGGCTGCCTGCCACCCACAGATGCCCTCATTGTTCGCCCTGCCAAGGCTGAAGCATGCCCCAGTTAGAGAAGCCTTGGCTTCCAGGAGGGCTGCTGCTGCTACGAGAAAGAAGGGCAGTGGGAGAAGGAGGGGAGGGAAGGGAAAGGACTGTATGGGGGAAGAAGGTGCAGCGGAGAAGTCATAGCAACATGGCGTCAGAGAGTAGAAGACTATCCTTTTAGGAGCGATTCCTGAACTCATCTGGTGCAGAAATCCTTCCTAAAAGGATAGTCACAGTGTTTCTTTAGGATGAAAGCAGAGCTCTGGCTTCAGAGAACCTGGGTGTGACTTCTGGGCCTGTCACTTGTCTGACCTGGGGCAACTGATTTCCCACAGCTCATCCAGCAGGTTCCCCTGCCATTGCTGCTGTGGTGAGTAAATGAGATAATAAGCAAAGCCTTTAGTACCCTGCCTGGCACTTAGCAGTCAACCATCATTCCATTTTACTCTGACAGTAAATTTAGTGCCAAGTTCCTCACCTTTTCCTGGACTAATTCAAATTAGGCAGTTTCGTGTTTTGTTTTGTTTTGTTTTTAAAGTACTTAAACTGAAAATACCACTACAGAATATATATTGGATAATATAT